GCTGTGCTAGTGGCTGTGGTCCTGCCCAATGTGTGTGGCTGCTTCTGCATTGCCAGTGAAAAGCACTGAAGGATTTCCTCCCCTGGCACCAGCCACCACCACAACCCCACGAGTTCACTGGTTTCCTGCAGACACAGACAGCCAGGGTAGGGGGAGGGAGAGAGAGGGGGAAGAGAGACCAACTCAAGGGATAGCCGTGAGGCACGGGACAGAGAGAATGATCACCCCTGGACCTTAAAAGCCACCAGATCACACCTGATTTCCAGAAGGGGCGTGTGTGTGTGTGTGTGTGTGTGTGTGTGTGTGTGTAAACTAAAACTCTGATATATATCTAATTCTCAGTAATACCTAAAAATTTCACCTTTGGTTTATGTTCTGACCTAAAGAAATGGACAGACATTAGAGATTGTTAGTACATCAAACATTTATTTGTAGGTTCTAACAAGGTGACTTTTTAATATTTTATTATAAAATTACTAATTATTGACCATTTGCAAGATGTCAGCCACTGTTTAAGAATTTTACTTGTATTATCTCATTTAATCCTTAAAATATTCTATTAATATGATGTTACCATGGCTGTATTGACTGTTTTGCGTGGGACTTCTCACTATCTGATGCTAGTATCAATGATGAGAAGCTAATTAGAGGTTTGGGAGGGAATCATTCTGAAGGCAGATCTGAGCTCTACTCACTTTAGTGCAGGAAAGCAAATAGATTTTGGTTCCAGTGCCAGCTACAGTTGAAAACTGGGAGCAACCTAGAAGGTTGAGAGAAATTCTGAGATTAAGTCTGAGCTTAGCTGGAAAGAGTAGCATAACTGACAGGCAATGCCTGTCACGGGCACTGGAGGGAGAAGTGTCACTACATGTGACAAGCAGTTGCCATCCCTGCTGAAGAACCAACTCCAGGTCCGTCCTCCTGGGCAGGGCTCCTGTTCTTACCCACACAGGCCGTGCTCTGCACAGGTCTAGAAGGTGCCATTCACATGGATTTCAATCAAATGGAACGCCCTGGAGTTGTGCGGCCTGGAACCCGCACAGCTGTACTGGGCAGCCCTACCCCCACAATCCCTCATGGAAACGAAACCCACGGTAGGAGACGATGACCCAGGCTGTAGAGATGGGTCCTTAGAGGGAAGGTGCTTCAGCGCACAGAGCTCCAAACAGGAAAGAGTGCGTCCTTGGCCCTGCTCTCAATTTGCTGTGTGTCCAGGGGCAAACTCTTTACCTTCGCTGGGCGTCAGCTGTGCAGCTTATGAAATGAGCTACTTAGATCACAAGGTCTCCCCAAATCCCTGCCAAAAGTGTGTGTGGGTGAACTTTGTTGTTGATTTTACTCTGATCCAATATCTCCACCTCTTGTGACTTCATACCCCAATTTTGTTTGGAGGAGCTGCCCACCTCACACTCAACTTTTAAACTGCACGGCAGTCACTACCCTATGGTTCAGCTGAACAGAGCAGTGTGTCTCATCCACCCCGGACCCCCAGCCACAGTGGCTGGTTCCGAGTCGATCCCATAATCCACACAGGGCCAATGAGACTCAAGTCCAGGGATTTTTCTAAAGCTAGCATAGAGATGACCTTCACCTCTCCTATTGGATATGAACGTAGAAGGATGTAGCCCCAAGAAGTGTTGGCAATAATTTGGGGGAGCGTGAAGGGACATCCCGATTAAAAATGGAGCCCTTACCAAAGAAGCAAAATAAAAAATAGAGAACTGTATAGCAGTTGCACTGAGTCCTGTTTCAAGCTCCCCCTGAAGCCAGGCATTCTCTGCTATATGAGGTGTGTCTGGAAAAAATCCAGCCATCATTAATATAACAAGAATGATTTGTGCAACATCGATGTAGCCTGGCAGCCAAGGAGAGTGGACAGGAGCGCACATGCGTGAACAATGTCGACTTCACTGTACTAGTCAGTATGGTCGGTAGATACCCATTGAGTAAACATGTGTACTGTGTGGCCTTCACGTTCAAAATGACTGATGAGTAGAGCAACAAATCTGCATCAGATTTTGCATTTAGCTTGAACATTACTCTGCAGAAATTATTCATATGATTTAGGGGCCACCACTGTGGGCAACTGGTGATTGGCAGTGTCATCACAACACATGCCCGCTCATGCATCGCGTCTCCTGCAGAATTTTTTTGGTGAAACATCAAATCACCAGGGACTCAGCCCCACTACAGCCCAGGTTTGGTGTCCTGCAACTTCTGCCCTTTCCCAAAACTAAAATCGCCTTTGAAAGAGAAGAGATTTCAGATCATCAATGAGATTCAGGAAAATATGATGGAGTAGCTGATGACAATTGGGAGAACTGTGTGAGGTCCCAAGGTACCTTTTTTTTGTAGCAAAGAAAGTTTTTCAAGAAGTTGCCCATGTCCAGACAGGTGAGCCAGCACTCAAAAAAGATCTGACTCCTTGATTACTTCCAGGGGAAAGTCATTAATCATGGTGACTAGGGGAGTTAGGGTTGTGGTCAGAGTCATGTTCTCTACTGATTGGTCAGCACTGGAGTGGGGAGTAGGGGTCAGTGCCTCTGGTCCTGGTGTCAGCCATGGTGTTGCTTCCCTGGCGTCACCACTCTTCTGGGTCTGGAGCTGAGACACAACTGAAGTCTAGATGTTATCGCTAGTTTGAGGACTATGTCTCTGGGGTCCAAGGCTTTGTTCCTGAGATTGTTTGATGCTGATCAGAACCTCGTTGTCCTGAGGGCTTGATGATTAAAGGAACAGACTTGCAAGGGAGAAGGAGGCAGGTGAGCCAGTGTGCTGGATGAGGCCAGTTTGAATCAAAGGAAAGAAAGGAGAAAAGTTCACATTAAAGAAATGAAGTTTCTATGTGGTTATATATCCTGGAAGTAAGTGTTTATTTTATTCTAAATTTATTATGATTGTCTCTGTTTTCCTCATGTAAAGTAAAATCCCACTGATTTGGGCTCTACTACATTAGGCATTTCAGAATGCAACATGTCAACATAAGAAACTTCCAAATCTGTAGAAAAATTTTATGAGTTTATTTGAGCCAACCAAGGTGCCTACTTTGAAGGGGACTGAGGCGTCATTGTCCTGTGTACAGTGTTTCTTGTATCTTGTATCCTCTTCAGTAAACACCTCTGTTTTTCACAGAATATGGCTGGATACCTTCTGGACAGACCTCATAAACCAATAAGTTCCTTTTGCTTAAGTTGTCTGGTGTGGGCTCTCCAATCAGAGAATCGTAACCAGAAACATGAATTTATGGGCTGAGAGAGAGCGAATATTACACCCTATAACTGGCTGAAACTGGTCCCAGATCACCGACAAGAGCCCAGCAGAAATGGGTCCTGGTGTGATGCCGTGAGATGCTCAGTGTGCGTCCCAGATTCCACGTGAGTGCTGCTCTCACACACGTCACGTGCACATAATGGGACTGGGAAGTGAAATAAGTTATTAGCATGCGTTTCAAGACCTCCACTCTCAAACGAGTGCTGTCATCAAAGCTGTCACCTGGGGAAGGAGGCTGTGATGTATTTCTTTATGTCAAAAATGCTTCCAGTCCCCTTTATGAAGGCCTGCAGACCCAGTGTACAAAACCTCCCATTAGGATGCTCTCTAGGTCAAAATTTCAACAACGTTTATTGACTGTCTATTAGGTGTAAGGGGCTGTGACAAGCACTAAGAGATGAGCAAACAGCAATGAAAAAGCCCAGGACCTCAGAGCATTTATAATTTAGGAGGAAAAAAATAAGGCGTGTGGCCAATCCATCCAAGCATTGTGCTCCTGCTGGCTCATTAAACTAATCTTTAAATGTTAAGTGATTTTTCAGGCACCCTCAGGCTCTCCTCCATCCCGTTTTGGATCCTTCTGTGCTCTGTAGTGAACCCTGTGAGGCACCTCTTTTTAGAAAAAAAGAGGACTTAGAGAATCCTTAGAGGATGGCCCCCTCCTTGTCTGTAGGGACACCACAGAAGTCACCCCAGAAGGATGCGACCATTCTCCCCGGCCAAGGTTTACGATCCAGTGCTAGTCACCCACCCAAGCTGAGGCGGTAATAGAACCATTACGTAGTGACAGCTGATTGGTCCAGGTGTAAGCTGCTGACCCTCAGATTTCCCCGATCCCTTCCATGGGAGTTTTAGGACAAGACTGGTGTAAAGGAGCCAGCTTTTTTTGTGGCTGCTTACACTCGAGAAGTGTAAAAATTAGGACTTTTGTGGTCTTGCATCTCATCATGTGGGTCAGAGGAGAAAAGGGTTTCATTCCATTGGGGGGCAGGGGCCAAAGACGAGATGTGGTACGTGAGGCATTGGCCCAAGTGTCTCAGACCCATGCGTCCAGCTGCTGCTGAAGTCCAGCAGAGGTTTTGAGTTGCTTGTTATATTCAATCAGCAGAATAAGTTTCTGGTTCTGCTTCCACTGAGTGGAGCTAGTTTTCCAGAACCAAGAATCCTTATAAGCACGTGGCCCTGAGAGCTGTCATGTCTTTAAAAAGAAAGACTTGCTAAATACCAACGTGAATTAGTGAACTAGCTATAAAATGTAATTTCAATTCTGTATCATTCAGCTTCCTTAAAGTCAACCTTGAGAAAAATCCAACACCTTTCTAAAAGCTCCTTAAGGGATTTCTTGTTCATCCCGGCCGTCCTCAGCACCTAGTAGATGCGGAAAGAATAAAGTGAAGTTGAAGCCATTTGACACCAACGACTGGCATGCTCACTCCTGGGGCTGCCCCGCACTTGAAATCCCGCCCTGGCGACAGCCCCCTGTTGCACGACTGGGCCCCCTGCGCAATCAGTAGCACTGTTGACGGCAGAGTCTGTGTTTCCCCCACCTTTGGATTTTCCTCTCAACCCAGCACAGCCTGGCAGAAAGCTCAGCAAATGTTTGAGCCATAAATGAAGGAGTAGATGAAATAGGGCCTCAGTGCCCCTGTCCATAAAATGGGAGCCTCGAATATCTGCCTTCTGAACAGTCTGTGTGAGGGAGGAATTACTCTCAGTCTCTCCGCCTGTAGGAGCTGAGGAGGAGGAGGGCTCTTCCTTCTGTGCCACCCACAGGTGTCTGCGCCCCTCCCGATGAGTCATCTGGGAGCCAGACGCCATCCGTCTCGGACAGAACCTGTCAGGTACTTGCTCCGGAGCAGCAGCGCCATAAATCTGTGCTGCATCCCCTGCGGTTACCTAGGGAACACTGGGGCACAGCCAGGAAGGGGGCACTGCAGCCAGAGAGGGCTCTGGCCAGTGTCCAGGCCTCTGGGTGACAGCCCAGCCGGGAGGGGACTTCCCACTCCCTAGTTTGGAACCGGTGTCCTGTACCCTGCAGAGAGCAAGGTGGCTCCCAGCCAGGAGCACCTGGAAAGCACCAAGGTCCCCCTACCAAACATTCAAAGAGGCAGGAGGGATCCATTAGCACAATGACTGTGACAGGAGTCGGGGCAGCTGGAGTCAGGCCCTGCGTTTCACTCCTTCACCTTCACACAAACCGTCATAGCGGGTCCCTCCCGCGCCCTGTGGGTGCGGAGACTGAATGAAATGGTGTATTAAACCGCTTGGCAACAGCCCTGACCACAACAAACAATCAATAAAGCAGCTGTAAATTTAACTGTTGTTGCTGGTATTGGTGGGACTAGTAGTACCTTACCCTCACTGAAATCTCTCAAGCAGTATCCCACTTTACAGATGAGGAGGCTGGGCCCAGGGAGACTAAGCAACTTGCTCAAAGGCCTTCTATACTAAGACCTGGACCCACTGGTAACGGGCACCAGCTACCCTGAGGCTTGGGTGTTATGCTCTCGGGAGTAAGCCCTGTGCGAGTGCGTGGGAAGGACGGACAACACCCTGCAGCTCTGCACAGCTCCACACCCATACTGGTGCCCTCACCGTGGTCGCACGGTGGCTGGAGACCTTGCTCCAGGTCCTACCTCTCTCGTCTTCAAGTCTCACGGCAGAGGGGTCCCTGAGCTCCCACTGGCTCTCTTTGGGTTAGGGTCCCCCCACGGAACACAGGAAAGTCCTAGTCTGGGTCTGCGAGGTGGGTGACTGAAGGGACAGCGTGGGTACTGAGGGAGGGGTCTGAACAAGATGCACATGTATGTGTGTGTGTGTGCACACACATGTGTGTGTAAGATCTAGAAAACATTTGCCAAAATGTTTGCAGTGATGTCCTCTCAGGAAAATAGAATAAAGGGCAATTTCCTTTTTGTTTTCTATACTTTTCCATAGTTTTACCAAAAGCACAATTTACTTTGGTAATTATTTTAAAAAGCAATTTTTCATTTGCCTAGTGATTAAATAAAGTAAAAAATATATTATTATATTAAGTATATTTATTTTTGAAAGTATTGAGCTGGACATTAGGGGCTTCGGTCCTGGTTCTGGCTCTGGGTGACCACGGTCACCTCACTTGTCTGGCCTCAGTTTCCTGTCTGTGAAATGGGGGCAAGGCTACACAGTTTCTGAGGTCCCCTCCAGCTCTGACCCTGAATGTGCCTCTCCTGCGTGCACACAGCAGGCAGGGGAGTGGGGGTCAGCTGGATCCTAGGGGACCCACTTGAATGCAAAGAGAGTAATTGTTTTCAAACAGAAACCAGTTCTGAATGCAAGTGGGTACTCTTATGAAGTCGAAAAAGTTTCTTCACAAGTTGAATATGCTCCCCAGAACCACAAAGAGAGCACCCCTCCTCTGTGGAGACCAGCTCACCTACTCTGGCCCTGAAAAATCTCCCCCTCCACTAGAGGGAAGAAGAATTAACATGGCCGAGTGGGCCTTCTGGGTGTCAGGCCCAACACAAAGTGCATTATACACAGAACCTAATTGAAACTCATAGCATTTGTGGCTGCCATCATTTGTTTGGCAAGCAACAAGGTCTCTAGGAGTATTACTTAATTCCCATACTGCGATTAAATATGAGTACATGGCACCTCCATAAATACCATAAGAGGAAACATCAGTTTTTATTCATCTTTGCACGTCCCTCAGGCCCTAACAGCGGGCTCAGGAGACAGTTGCTGATCAGTAGGTTCCTCCCCCATCATCAGGGCTGCTGGGGCTCCATGGAGGGTGGTCCCTAACATCAAAGGTTTCACCAGCTCATTGGAGCACACACCTTTGGCTAAAAAAGTGATGAGCTTAGTTCAAATTAAAGGGGAAGGGGAGGGGCAACCGATTAGGTAATGATCCACCGTTGGCAGGAAGCCATCCCTTTGAAGAGCTGCCCTAACACCAGGCCCTCAAGAAACAGGACATTGGACTGGTGTGACTTTGACCAGGAACAGGAGGTTAGACAAGGTCAGGATTCGCGGTGGCTGGAGGCAACGTGAGAGCATTGGGACCGTGGGCATAGGTTAGAGTTGAAAGGAACAGAGACTTACAGAGAGGAGAACAGATCCCCAACATAAAAGGTGCTGCAGTAATAGGAAGATTAAAGAAATGGTAGTGAGAAGAGACAAAGAGACAAACAGAAAATGTAAGGAAGCAAACCTCCTCCTGCACAATTTTGCCCACAGGAAGCTGTGGTTTCAGGCGTAGATGGGCAGATGGGATCAAGTAGGCTCAGCCAAAAAGACCAAAAAAAAATCACAAAAAAGAAAGCTCGTTGAAAGACAACAGTTTCACAGATCTTGCTTTATTTTGACTTTCAGTTAAGATTGCAATCAACCTGCCCTTTTCATTCATTCTTTCACTCATTCACTCATTCATTCACTTAGTATTTAATAAATATTTATTGAACGCCTATGATTTATCTATCACACACTGTGTTAGGCCCTCGGATGGGCAAAAAGAAACCCCTGCTCTCACTGTGCCTGAAGCCCAGGGAGGGGGGCACACGGAGGCTCTGGAACCCCAAACCAGGGTGAATGCTGTGAGGGAGAGGGGTGCGGTTTTCTGAGAGCGGAGAAGAAAGGCACCTCACCTAAACCGAGGTGGGGAAGAGCGAGACCGTCTTTCCCTGAGGAAGTGATCCTGGTTTGAGCTGTGACAAACAGGAGGGTCCCTGGCAAGGAACAAGGAAGAGCCAGTGGAAGCCAAAGTCATTTTTAATGGGTCCAGCCGAGGCAAGACTAACAGACAGGTCAGAGAAACCTGGGTTTGAGGCCTAGACCCTACAAGAACCCTCTCTGTGAGACACGCAGCCAAGTCATTTGTGCTTTCTGGGCCTCCATTTGATGATCTGCAAAATGGGGGTGATGGGCTAAAATAATGTTTCCCAAAATGTGGTCTGCCAGCCTTCTGCAGTGGAATCATTTGGGTGACTGGTGAAAAGTATAAACCCCTGGAGCTCACTCCAGACCTGCTGTGGCTGGGGCCCCCGGAATCTGAATTGTAAGGCCCCCTCTGGGTGGCTCGTGCCCAGGGAGACTTGGGCATCTCTGGCCATGTGGGCCAGACCTCGGCCTGCTCAACGGCTGCACATTTCTTTCTTTTCCATTCCTCGGCTCGCAAGAGAGCAGCACCAAGAAGTCATAGAGCGGGCCATCCCCCAGACGGAGCAAAGGAACATTCTGAAGTTCTCAGGTGACAACAAAGGACTGAACTCTCACACCTAGAGCTGCTTCAGGGACAAGTTCCCCAGCCTGACTTGAGAAAAAAACCCTCCAGACTAAATACTTTTTTCCTTCTGACTTCTCCACTCAGCCCCTGGAATTTGATTGAAAATAGATGTATATTCACTGGAGTCTGTTCTCTGCCCTTGTCGCTCCTTCTTCCCTTTCTCGTGGATCTGGGCCTCTCTGTGATATTGGGGCCAGGTGGAGGTTTTTGTGCGACCCCTTTCCTTCCCTGTCTTTCTAGGGCATGAATGGTCGGCCTCTGGTGTGATGGTTTATAGTCTGTGAGCCTCTTTGGTCTGATTCCCGAGGAAAGTCCCTGTAGACACTAATTGTACAGTGACGGAGAGTTATGGGCTGACAGCGCGCCGCCTGCCTGCTGGACTAAGCTGTCTCCCTTCCCCTGCGCACAGAGAGCTCACAGGGCCCACTGCCCGCCACACCCCAGGCCCCGGGTCCATCGGCACCCACACTGGCTTTGTCTCTAATCCTTCCAGGAGTTCTCTGCATGAAGAAATATTTCCAGCAAGTCTGAGCGCTCTGGGTGTGGTAGAGGCAATTTCAGAAATTGTGTCTCAAAGACCAGATATATTACTTCTGCCTACCTAGGATTCTTGTATTAAAATGAGATAGTGTATGTAAAGCCCACGATGCAAGCCAAGCCCACAGAAAGTTCTCAACAAATGTTAGCTGTTGTTATTTGTATCAATGTTATTTTTCCAGCCAATGGGTTTTTTTTAGGACTATTTTTACATGAGAAAAAAAACGGAATCCATTATATCAATTGGCAAGTAAAAGGTTGGACGATTCACTGAGCAGCCAACTAGGAAAATCTGTACCTTAATACTCTAGACTCTGAGACATCTGTTGTATATTTTTATGAGTATACAAAGTACCAACAATGACATATTTATTGAGAGCTTCCTGGGTGCCAAAGCCTTGTTGAAACCTGACAGTAACTCAATGGGATAAATATTATTAAAATACCCATTTACAGATAAACAAACAGATGGAAGTTTAAATAAATGAATTAACCTGCCTGAGGTCACAAAGCTAGGAAGTGCCAGAAACTAAAATTTGGTCTGAAGTTTTAATGAGCTACTTCCTTTGGTCTGACTGGCATCTCTCAGGCTGTCTTTGGAGTCTGGATTCTCTCTCTCTCTCTCTCTCTCTCAACAGTTGGTTATCATCATGGGGTCAATAACTTTTGTACTCCTTAAAGACAATTATCAAATCAAGTCTTCCACTCTTTTTCTCGGAAAACTTGAGATCCCAGCCTGACACACGGCCTTGAGCGCACTTGAGTTTCCCGGCAGCAGCTAGGAGGGGAGATAGAACCCTTGGACCCCACCCCAGAGAAGGGCCCTGGTTTGCACTGGGCAGCAGCACACGGCCCAGGGCAACTTCCGCCTCCCTGAATCCACCCACATCCCCAGCTCGCTGGGGTTTGCCCAGAAATTCCCACAGTTTTGTTTGGCTGCAAGGTCAGCCTATAGCCAGATTTGGGTAATCGGGGAGGGGGGGCGGTGAAAAGTATGGATTTTGAGTCAAACCGCCTCTGCCCTAATCCCATCTCTGG